CTCTAAAAAGGGATATAAGAGGGACTAATATATGGCAAGTGTCATGACACATGGAAGTGTAAGGACTAAGTCTGAGAAGGAGTCCGAGAAGGAATCTAAGATGGAGTCCAAGATGGAGTCCGAGAAGGAGTCCGAGAAGGAGGCCGAGATGGAGTCCGAGATGAAGTCTAAAATGGAGTTTAAGAAGGAGTCTGAGATGGAGTTTGAGATGGAATCCAAGAAGGAGTCTAAGATAAAGTTTGAGAAGGAGTTCAAGATGGAATCCAAAAAGGAGTCCAAGATGGAGCTTAAGATCGAGTTCGAGATGGAGTCCAAGAAGGAATGCGAGATGGAATTCGAGATGGAGCCTAAGATCGAATCCGAGATGGAGACTGAGATCGAGACCAAGACCGAGATAGAGACTGAGTCCAAGTCTGAGTCCAAATACTAATGATGGTGAAAGCCCAAAAAGATTATCCCTTGGAAGGTTGCGAAGGGTTCCAAAAGTATAGTAAAGAAAGTGTGGGGGTTGGACTCGAGTGGAATTAGTTTAACTAGAAAAGGCTAATGTGACCTAGTATGACTTAGGAAGGCTACACCTACATAGTGGGTGATGATATAACCACTAAAGAGTCCAAGGCTAAAGTGAATATAAATAAACAAGTAGGGTAGTTTGGTGAAGTGTTCAAGAGTCGACTATAACTCCCCTAAGAGATCAAATGGTCGATACTCCCAATCCAAGTATGGGTGGCACTATCTATTTGGATATTTAGTATGGCTCATCAGAACTTCACTCTAGCCATATGGCTAGAGCATCCAAAAGCAAAAGGTGGGGGTAGTACCCATGAGGCATATGTTGGGCCACAGTGTTTCAAAATGGCTAGGGCATCTAGAAGCAGAAGGTGGGGGAATACCCACAAGGCTTGGGCTAGGCTACAGTGTTTCAAAATATCATTCCAAAGTCCCAAATTATAGAAAGGAAAAAGAACAATCCTTTTGTGTAGAGACTAAGGATAAAGTCACATAGTGAGGAAGTTCTAGAGGTTAATGGAACTTAGTGGTCGAGCCTTTGGTGTAAGCTCTTAAATTTGGATTTCCTAGAATATCATTTAACTCAATACTATTCAAACTTAAAAATGTTCAACCTCAAATATCCCAAAACTTTTAATCAATTGGAAAAGAGGGTGCATTTTTGTTCATGAGTCCTTTCCCTTTATATTTAAACCCTTATAGACTATCTCTCGAGTCATTCTTTATGGTTGTTTATAATCCACTATGTTTCCCTACAAGTTCACACCTTCATGAACAAGAGATGAGAATCACAACCCTCCTAAGAGCTCTGCTCTTTTGACACCTTACCTTTCAAGTCAAGCCTAACTAGAGGCAAATTAAACTTGCTAGATGTCAATTTCAATATATGGTGTGATTCCCTTAGCCAACTAATAAAGTTAAACCCAAGATATCTTTAATACCAAATGTAAACTCTTGAGTTTGGACTTCTTTGGAGGTCACCCAATCTAATACTATTCAAACCCAAGGATATTTAACCCTAAGTATCCCAGGACCTTTAACCAATTAGAAAAAAGGGTGCACTCTTATTTATGGGCTCTTTCCCTCTATATTTAAACTCTTATGGACTATTTTTCAAGTTATTTTTTGTAATTACTTATATTTAGGCTTTAATCCAATGGTAGTATTAGTGAGCACAACCATGGATGGAAAGGCATTTAATAAGGATTAAAGAAGGGATATTAGGGAAAGATTTCTCCTATGTCTCTAGGCATCCTAAAGATGCTAATGTGTGGTTCTAAGATAACCACTCATGGACAGATAGCAGTCTTTAAGAGACTGGACTATGGCACGAGTGGTCTTAAACTACCGATGAGACAAAGGCAAATGGACATAATCTTAATATAATGCTAATATGTTAGTGGTACCTTTAGGGTGTATATCATAAGATTGGACATATGGAGCATTTAAAAGTGCAAAGGCTAAGTGGCATAAATGCGCTAACATATCCCTAAATTGGGAATAAAACTTATGAGGTTGTGAGTGAGACTTCTCCAAGCGGTCAAAGATGTGGTTAAGTGATTAAAATAGAATGGAAAATTTTGTCATTTATAATTGTATCCTATGTTAAAAGAAAATAATAATTAATCTCAGCAAAACTTTCATAAGAAACTATTGACAACCATTACCTTAGTCATTAACGCATCAACTGGTCTACTCCTATTAGGAACAAGAGTATTTTAATGAGGATTTTAAACTAGGATTTATTCATTTTCCAAGTGATAAATTCTGTCAAACATTTGAAGTTAAGCATCGCTCTTTCCAAGGGGTGGAAGCTTGTGAAATGCTACATCAAAGGTAAGCTCTTTCCAATTTTTTCTTCTAGGTCAAGCTTACTTCTAAAAACTAAAAATTTCCATCATGAAATATGGGCCTTCTATTGGACAGTTTATGTACTATCTAGATCATGTATTTAAAAAAATTTGAACCCCTTCTTTATGTACAATTTGACTGTTTATTGTATAAAATTTTAATTAAATCAAAGCTCTCAAGAATGTACCTGAATATTCTAGGATATTTTATGATCTTTACATTTAGATTAATATTAATTATAAACATGTCTATAATTTATAAACTTTTATAAACACCAAGTAAATTTGGTCTATTACATTTAGTCTCTTTTCCTAAAATGAGTTAGTTTTGCATTATTTTATGGCAATACCTTTATGCTATAGATTTCATTTATTCACCCTGCCATGTAGACCCCTACAAGTAATCTTGGTGAACCATGGATGTAAGATAATGATGTTTGGCTATTAGGTGCTAGCTTTGACCATGTGGTCAACAAGCACTTTAGAGGTTTATAGTGGTAATAAGAAAGTTTTTTTTCATAGGCATGGTAAGGAACCTCAAAAAGAACTGTAGTAGCTTAGGCAATTATCTTTGTTGTTTAATACTATGTCATAATATTAGTATCATTGTGATAGCTGACTAATGAACATTGGAATCTTAAAGTTGATGGTGGTGCCAACAAGTGCTGATGGAGGTTGTGAGGTTTGGACTATCAACAATATCATTTATGAGCTGTGAGCCCTTAATAAAAATTAATAAGAGATATCTGATTGTTAAGTATGATGTTTGAATATGTTGAGGCATTCAATGATAGTGCTCCAAGAAAAGTAGATTAACTCAAGATTTTAAACATTTCTAGTGATAATGGAGTGATGAGTGTTTGGCATGGTTAGCCAATGTGAAGAAGTCTTTAGCTACCAAAGAAATTTTAGTGGTTATTCTAATGGTTTTGCATGATATATATCTTCAATGGTGGAATTAGCTTGATAAGTTTTATGTTGTAAATAAAAAACCACTAGTGTCTACAATAGATGAGTTCAAGGCTTTTTTTTTTTTTTGTTTATGTTTAGCCTCTCACTATACATGGAGAATGCTTGCACAAAACTTTAAAACTTCTATTGATTGACACTTGGAGACTACATTAAAAAGTTGAATTTCTTGATTAGTTATGTTCTAATCAAATATCTAAATTAAAACAAATCCTACTTCATTAATGGCCTTCAAAATGAGAGTATGAATTAACATTTACATCATTTCATCATATAAATGGAAGAGCTCTTTGATATCACTTAAAAATGACTTATATGCTTGTTAACTCAACTATGTGTTGAGTAAAACATAAGCTAATAACACTTATATATCAATTTTATGTTGGAGGGTTTGTTCCATGACAGTCTAATATGAATTTTATTGGACAATGAGAGTAATAACAATTTCTTTTCCTTTTTTTTTATAAAGTTTGTTGAGGAGAACAACCTGGTGACATAAGGAGTTCTTTTTACATAATAAAAGGTGTAGCTACCTTTAAATATTATTTTAGTGCTTGTATAGATAGTTAAAAATATTGGTTGATAACATCATACTTGTGGAAACTTTTTATCTTACAAAATCTATTGTATGGATTATATTTTATGATTGATGGAGATAAAATAAAGCATTAAGCATGTTTCATTAAAGTATGGTAGTGTTAAGGATGTGTGGTATAAAAAGGAAGTTCAATTGTTATGATTTTTATTTATATCTTTGAAATGGATTTATTATAATGGAAAGGCAATTTTAAGTTATTTATTGTTTATTCATGACTTAAAGACCAAGACACATGTGAAAGGAGGCAATAATGTGGGATGTGCTTGAGAAGTTTGTTAATGTCTTTCCATTTAAACTTTCTCATGGGTTACTTCTAATCCAAGGTATAGAGTATAATATTATGCTAACAATGACATTTTATTAGCAAACTAAGCTATGTGGAGGAATAAGAAATTTAATGACAAAAGAAGTTACTTGATTTTAGATTTAGTCAACCAAGTCTATATGGCACACCAGTCTTGCTTGTGAAAAAGAATGATAGCTCAATTAATATTGATGTGTATTGATCATGCATTAAACAAGAAAATGACAAAGGATAAATTGAGCAATGGATATTATTAGATTGCAATATATGATTTATTTATCTTCAATATAGTATTCAACACAAGTTTCAAATATTTTGAATTACAATTATGCTATTCAGATTGACAATTACACCAACAATGTTTACTCGGTTGGTGAGTGTTACTTATACAAGTTTTTAGAGATTCTTTTTGATGATATTTTTGTTTTTAGAAAGAATATAGAAAAACATCCAAATGTTTGTCTTGCCTCCAGCAGATACCCATTCGAGGCAAATGTACGAATCAAGATGTTCCATGAGAAGGCGTTGGGCTGATCACTCGATCGGAAGACCGTGCGCTCACACTTTCCATACATCTGGATCATCAGATTCGCGAGATAGACTCTCCTTCAATGCTCGCTCTTGAAGATCCTGGCATGGGTCTTGCGAGCAGCGGCGAGATCGCGAGTATAGCCACAGCGCCGCAAGCGCACTGCGAACTCCTCCATGGATTGATCATCACGTGGGAGCTCTCGAGAGGTATCAAAGATTTCCTCTCAAGCATTCTTCTCTAGATCTTTTTGCCAAGCAGGCTCCCCAGCAAGAGATAGGGCGATGCCGATCCGTCCATCCCCAGCACCGATCGCGCCACTCTAGATCCCCTCTGGACATCGCGATCGATCCGGCACGCCGCGAGCAGCGAGCCCCACGAGATTTCGTCCGCCGCCACTGGCATCGCCTCGATCAGCCCCTCGGCATCGCCCAATCGCCCGGATCGACACAGCATGTCCACGACGCAGCTGTAGTGCTCCCTCGTCGCCTCCACCCCGTGATCCACCACCATCGATTCGAAGAGCGCGCAGCACTGCTCCACGAATCCGGCATGGCTGCACGCCGCCAGGATGCTCGTGAAGGCGATCTGGTCGGGTGTCTCTCCCGCCAGCATCATCGATTGGAAGAGCGCGATCGCGGCGGCACAGTGGCCGCTGTGGGCGTTGGCCGCGATGATCGTGCTCCACGCCAGAACGTCCTTGCGAGGGATGCGATGGAAGGCGCGATTCGCGAGCTCCAATTGGGCGTTTTGGGCATAGCCGCTGATCATCGCGCTCCAGGAGACGCTGTTGATCGCTGGGGAGGAATCAAAGATCTCTTGCGCCGCGAGCGATTCTCCGCCAGCGAAGAACGCAACGATCATGGCGTTTGTGGAGACCACGTCGTGCTCGGGCATGGAATCAAAGGCATCTTTCGCGCGAGAGAGATCCCCATTTTGGGCATATACCGTTAGAGCAGTGTTCCACGAGTAGAGATTCCTGTGCGGCATCTTCTCAAAGACGGAATATGCTTCTTCCGCGCGGAGATTCTGGGAGTAGGCCACTATCATAGCCGTCCAAGTGATAACGTTCCTCTCAACTGAGCCGTCAAACAGCCTCTGGGCGGAGTCAAGACCCCCATCTTGGGCATTTACGACAATCATGGCCGTCCACGTCACGACATTCCAGCAAGGAATGCGCTGGAATATCTCCTGGAGCATTCCCGAATGGCCATGATCAGCGTACATCTGGAAAATGGCATTCCAGGACGCAATGTCCCGTCCAATTCCCGCCATTCGATCAAACGTCGATTTTGCGAGCTCAAGATGCCCTTTGTGGGCATATGCTTGGAACAAAGTAGTCCATGTCACAACGTTGGATGCCGGCGTATTCTCACAAAGAAGCTTTGCCTGGTCTATTACTCCGTGTGTAGTATATGCTGTGACCATGCTACTCCATGTAAATCCATTTGTCTGTGGCATCTTATCGAAGATTCTTCTTGCGTCTTCTAGATGCCCTTTCTTGGCATAGGCCGATAGCATCGCCGTGTACGTCACTACGTTCTTCCCATCCATTCTCTCGAAAGTCTTCTTCGCCTCGATCAATCGCCCATTTTGTGCAAACGTGAGAAGCATCGAGTTCCAGGAGAAGTCGTTTGGATCGCGGAGGGACGCGAAGATTTTCTCGGATTCCTCGACGCTGCCGCATTTGCCGTACATCCTGATGAGGAGATTGGAGAGAATGAGGGCTTTGTGATGCTCGCTCGCGAGGATTTCCTGGTGCAATCTCCTGCCCAGCGACAGATCTTGGAAGTCGATGCAGTGGCGGAGCGCTTGGATGAAGGATTGCAGGGATTTCATCCATGATCATGCGCAGGACCTCTCCACAAGCTTCAGCTTAACTAACCCATGTTGTCAAAATAACTCCAATAAAAATTGTGTATTTGTTTTATCTCATGCTCAAGCTGGTCAGATCAAAATGATGTCAATCTATCACTCTTCTTTGGCTGACAGAACATTGATCAGTAATGCCATGTTCTTGTACTCCTTAGAACTTGGATTGGCCATTCCAAAATCTTCCTTTTGCCATCTTCTTGGAGACAGCGAGCACCCTGGAATCGTCCCGACTCAGGTCCCAAAAGGACTCTTCAAACGATTGAACGTGCAGCATGTAAGCAGGAGTTCCAACGCTCAGAGCACTCGTCAGCTGACTTGTGCTCATGGCTCGGTTCATAAGGTCCAGTGCCGCCAATGGCGATGCAACGTGCTCTTCGGCATCAGGAAACCCGCGCTTGAGCGACGCGTTCTTCATGGGGGTATATTGCAGCAGTACAATGTGCAACTCCCTCCCGCTCATCCAGATCACCACATCTACACCTGGAAAGCAAAGGTCCTGGCCGAAACTTGAAAGGCTTGTAGCAGTACCTTGAATCCCCCCTTCAACTGCTGCAGGAGTCACTTGATGCTTCTCTGCGGGATGTCAAAGTTTCGAAGCTGATACGTTCTCCTCGAATGCAGAGGAGGACCAGCCCCTTCTTCGCAGAGTGTCATCACAGAGGTGGCCCAGTGGATCACTTTCCCGTCCGTAAGCAGCTGGCGTGCATATGCCGTCCACGCTCCGTCGGGATGAGGCTTGACAATAGCCCACGGCTCTCAGGAAGATCAACTTGATGTAAGTGGAGCAGTAGCGCCCCCTTTGAGCGTTGAGAACGTAAGTGAGATCCAGGTGTGCCATGAGCTCGTCGGTGGAGCAGCAGTGGTAGTCTTCTCCTCGCAGGACTAATTCGTCTGCCTTTCTTACAGCTGCCTTCACCTCGCAATGCCTAGAAAACGTCATGATCACGGCCTCCCAGTACTCGTCTTCTTCCTCCACCGAGGCATCCCTGGCGCAGAAGGGATGCAGCAACACGTTTCTGCTCCCACTTTTGCGAAACGTTGCTTTGCTGCACTTTTGATTCAAGGTCGTAGTTGCACGATTGGCATAGTGCATCGAGGAAAAGTGGCACAAATCCAGTGTAGAAGTAGATGCTTGAACGACGAGGAGTACCGGCATATATGGAGTACTCGTCCTGCATGCAGCAAAAAGAGCAAAACCATGAGGACTGGAGCAAAGAAAGAGTACATAACTGACTCTCCCGTAAGTATAACACGGCAGGCTCTGGAGTGCACTACCAACTTTCGCCACCACCACAACCTTGCCAAAACCTTATACAGATCACGAGGGTGGTCGGGAAGTTTTCAAGCAAGTCTGCACGACTCTTCTCGCCGCAGTCGTCTACCAAGAAGTAAAACACCGACTTAGAGGCATGCCAGCGCTCAAAAGTTGGATGATTTCCCGACGCGGCCGTAGACCACGAACGGGGGCCAGTCCGAGACGAGAGAGTCCCGACCGACGTAATCGAAATGGTAGAAGGAGCGCATCCCAGACCCGTGAACTTGCTTGAATCGAACAGATCGTCTTCTTCCATGCGGCGGCGCTTACTTGTCCTATCGCTTTATGTAGGGTAAGAACATTGATCAACCCTGGAACATGAAGCAGTAACTTCTACTTCGTAATCTCGGTTCTTTCCAGCACTCCCAGATTGACAACAAGCGGAGGCCAAATTTAAATCTAAGCCGTTAATTTACTACTTAGGGTTTTTAAAAGCTGGAGCATCGACGAAAGCATCGAGGACGATGCCAAGGGAAGAGCTTGAGCCACTGCATGTTCTTGGTGCTGTACTGGCTTTGATGGTCATCTTTGGAATAGTCTTTGGTGGGATGGGTATGATGGCCATTGCTTTGGTGACGGCTGTGATCATCCCCTGCTGGATGTGGAGGGAGTTCAAGGTTGGGCCATTCCATGTCAAAGCCCTCGGCTTTGCAGGTACTCTCTCCATTTTTACTTCACATTTCTAGAAAAACTTCGACAGAGCAAACTCAAAGAAGCGAGGCCCCAAAGGAACGCAGGAACCGTCGTCCAGATCCAGAGCAGTGCTCATGTTGCTACTTTGACACTACGAACTGTAGGTACCATTCTAGATTCGTCAACTAGAAATTCTCGTGAAGCTCAGAGATCTGCTGCAAATCGACCGTTCAATTCTAGCTCCATTCTGTGTTCCTCGGCAAGCCTACTAGTTTGACGACTGGACATGGGAGAAAGGAACTTCAACTTCCCTCTATGTCATAGTTTGTATGAGCATCGAGTCTTCTCTTCCAGGACCAAAGGAGGACTTAGCTCCTCGGTGCTGTTCGCGTTTTTTGGTTGCGACTCCAAATAAAAAAGGCTCAACGCCGATATGAAAGCGAAGAACACAAAGGTATAAAGCGATGAAAACGTTTCCCTTCTCCTTACCACTGATGCAATATATCAGAAGAGATCGAGTGACTGGTGTTTAACGCGACTTGTAGAAGGCCCGCTGGCAAGAGGATGGCGGCTCTGCGTGACGCGCTCGATCCGGCCACGGAAAGTCCTCCCTGGCAAGGCTCGACGCCGTCGCCTTCCTTTCGCGTTCTCGGGCACGTATCGAGCCTCCTTGCTGCACCAGGATTCGTTCCTTGGCGAGCAGTAGCACTGGCTCCGAATTCCAGAGGCGCTTATGCACAGGTTTCCATCTGGAAGCCGGATCACAATACTGAGACTAATGATGGGACAGGAAAAGCTCACCTTATAAACCGCTGACCAAGTCAACTTGGTCAAAGTTCTTCGCTAGCTATATAAAAACTTTTTACAGACTTCAATGAGTCTTTGATAAAATACTCCCTACATTTCTTGAGGATCGATCATAGTCATCGTTTACATTCGGAGTTCTTCTCTTTTGGGACCAACTACCTGACACAAATGACGTTTACGTGAGCAAGTTCTCCAAGGCATTTTGCAGATCTATTGTAGTTTCAAGAGACTTTTCTTATACTTTTTGCCTTCTGCATCGAGTCGCCCAGCTTGACCGAGCAAGGAAGAAAAGCAAGGAATGGTTTGATGTGTGTGTGTGTGTGTGTGTGTGTGAGAGAGAGAGAGAGAGAGAGAGAGAGAGAGAGAGAGAACGGGTAGGCCGAACGATCCACGAGGAATCCGAGACGAAGATCGCGAACACGCTCATCCACATGTATGGGAGCTGCGGGAAAATCCAGAAAGCCAGCGAGATCTTCGAATCGATGCCACACAAATCCACAGTCTCGTGGAATTCCATCGTCTCGCTCCTTTTTAAGATTCCCGCGAAAGATTTATATGTACAAGTAAGAACCCTAAAATCGTGGAAAGATGTGACGCTTGCTTACTTGGTGCAATCTCCTTCCCAGCGACAGTGTCGGAGTTTTTGTGTGAAGTAGGGATTTCATGCTCCAGGAATGCCGTTGGGAGCCAAATCTCCTCTTTGGGCATGAATCTCTTCTCTGGAAATGCAAGAGCGACGAGGTACTCACAATCACAGTTCCTGGAGCTCGCGGATGTGGTGCGGGGCGTCGCGGAATCCAGAGATTTGCCAAGAGCGCAGCACGTCCACGCCCGGATCATGGCGAGCGATCATCGCGAGGACCGGGTTTTGCTCAATCTCCTGGTGGACATGTACGGGAAGTGTGGCGATCTCCCAGCGGCAGCGGCGGTCTTCGATCGAATCCCTCGCAGGAACGTCTTCTCGTGGAACGTCCTCGTCGGGGCACTTGCCAAGAACAGGGAATTCGATTTCGCGGAGAGCGTGTTCGATCGAATGCCACAGAGGGATCTGGTGACATGGAATGCGATTCTCGCTGGCAATGCCGAGAGAGGAGACCACCATCGATTGAAAGAGATCTTCGATCGGATGCCACAGCGAGACAAGATCTCTTGGAACACGATCGTGGACGCAATTGCCATCACCGGGGTTTTGGAGTTCTCTCGCCTCGTGCTGGAAAAAATGCCCAGCTGGGACGTGGTGGGGTGTACGGTCATGGTGGCGGCGTTCGCGGAGGAAGACGATGTACGACACTCCAAGAGGATATTCGACGCAATGCCGTACAGGGACGCGGTGAGCTGGACCGCCACGCTGACGGCATATGCCCAGAATGGCCACGCTGACGTGGCGTGGATTCTGTTCCGGAAAATGCCCAGCTGGGACCACGTGGCATGGAACGCGATGATCAAGGCCTCGGCATCCAACGGCCAGGGCTTCGAGGCCAAGGTGTTGTTCGATTCCCTGCCCCTTCGCGACGTGATCTCGTGGAACGCGATGGCGGAGGCCTTCGTTGGATCGGGCGAGCTCGATCAAGCGATCGCATTGTTCTTCGAGAAGATCCCGTGCTGGGATTTCGTCTCAGCCACCGATATGATCGTCGCTCTGGCGCTCCACGGCCGGATCGAGGAGGCCAGAGAGGTGATCGATCGATCGCCAGAGCTCAGTACCGTCTCCCTCAACGCGATGATCAGTGGCTATGCCCAGAACGGGCAGCTCCACCTCGCCAAGTCGGTCTTCGATCGGATGGATCGCCGGGACGTTGTCTCGTGGAATTCGATCATCGCGGCCTATGCCCAACACGATCGATTGGAGGAAGCTCGCACCACTTTCGCCAAAATGGCCCAGATCGATGTGGTGTCCTGGAACACTCTCGCGCAGGCGCATGCCCTCCACGGGCATATCAACGAAACCATGGCGATATTCCAGACGATGGCGAGCAGGAACGTCGTCTCTTTCAACGCGCTGATTGGAATCCTGGCCCAGCACGGGAGCTTCCGCCAGGCGATGGAACTCTACTCGCGAATGCCGCAGAGAAACCTCCTGACTTGGAACCACACCATGGCTGCCTGCTCGCAAAATGGAAGCTTCGAGTACCTGGAGCTCGTCTACCACGACATGAACTTGGAGGGCCTCTCGCCAAACCCGGCCTCCTTCTCGTTGATCCTCACCGGATGCAGCCACACTGGTATCGTTGCTCGAGGACTGGAGGAGTTTTGCTCCATGGTGGTCGACCATGGAATCTCGCCGACGATCGAGCACTACTGCTGCATGGTGGACGTCTTTGGACGAGCCCGGCATCTGGATGAAGCCGAGGAGGTTGTCGAGAGCATGCCTTTCGAGCCGGATTCGAGTGCCTGGCTGACTCTCCTATCGGCATCCAAGAGTCACGGGGACTTCGAGAGGGCGGCTCGAGCGGCTTGGAAGGTGATGGATCTCGATCGGAAGAAATCGTCGCCTTATATACTGTTGTCGAATATGTATGCCGAGGAGGAGGAAGATAGCATAGAGTTTTTCACGCTAGAACGCGAAGGTAGGAGCGTTCTGGCAACCAACAAGGCGTGAGTTACATTAGAAGCGCACAAACTTACAAATTTTCTAACGCGATTGACCGAAATTGGTGTTTGTTCTGCAGAGTTCGCTAGAACATCCACTGTGCGTTTTTTCTTCCGTGGTTCGGTTCCGGGTAAGGCAGAGTTAGTGTTTCTCTCAGCTTGTCCTCGTATAATTGATCAGCAGCCAATGCATCTACGGAGAACAAAGAAAAAACACGATTTTGGATGACAAACAATTGACAAAGAGATCACCTTCGTATTCATGGCGAGCGTGTGACTGAGCAACAAGATCAGCGGCTTGTTTGCTCCGTACTTGAGTCTGTAGAGCCTGATACAAGTCTTGCTTCGACTGTAAAGCAAAAGATCGCATTACCTAGTCTATAAACTTTCAAGAGAGAAAATCATTACCATCTTAGCCTCGAGCGACTGCCTTTGCTTCTCCAGCTCCATGGCTCTCATCTCAGCCTGTAGCTTCTCTAGCTCGATCCGTTTCTCCTCGTCCCGAGTTCTCTGAAGTTGCTCTGGAGAGAAAACAAAAACACGTAAGTTGCAGTGATCACCAATCCTTCACGTACCTTTGAACTTGAGCTGTGCCTCTCTCTCCTCATGAACTCTCATCATCAATCGCTTCCTCTTCTCCTCCTGGTACTGCTGTTCCTCGTCCTTCCGCCGCCACTCCTCGTCAACCTCCTGCTGGATGATCGCCTCCATCTCGGCATCGTCGGCCATTTGCTTGGCCATCACCTCCTTGAGATACGCCGCGTACGCCACAGCCTCTTGCCGCTGCTTCTCCCGGAGCTGCCGCTCCTGGTTCTCCTCGGCTCTCTCTCTCTCGCTCACCATGTTGACGAGCATGGCGTCCGAGTGCTTCTCATCCATCAGCTCCTTCTTCCGGTTATCCTTGACTTGGTCGTTGTAGCGCATCGTCTCCTGGGATTCCTGCTGGGCCTTTTGCCGGCGATGGGCTTGGAGAGCTCGCAGCTCCGCGTCCTCGTCCTGCCACTTCCTCACCAATTGCCGCATCTCGTCCTCGAACGAATCCCTCTCCTCGTCCCGGAGCCTCTGGACCAGCGAGATTTGCTCTTGCAAGATCTCCATGGCCTCCTTCTTGCGCGTCTTCTTGAGCATCAGGTCCTGGAGCTCCTCCTCCTGCGCGCGCTGCCGGTCCAGCTCCATGATCTCCTTGGTCGTCAATCGCTCCTCATCCTGGAGCCGCTTCTTGGCCAGATTTGCCTCGCGCTGCTTCTTCCGGATCTCCTCCGCCTTGAGCACCGCCATCTTGGAGTTCTGGAGCCGCATGTCGTCGCAGCCCTCCCGGAACACGCGATCCAGCTGCTGGTCGGCGTAGGTCTTATCCCTGGCGATTCTTTCCTCCCGGAGCTGCCGCCCTCGGGCCTCAAGCCACGCCCGGCGCTCGCCGAGATTCATCGTCGCCGTGTGGAGCTCGCAATGCAGCGTCTCCGCCTCCTCCCGGAGCAAATCCCCCAGCCTCTGGCGCTTCTCCGCCAGCTGCCGCGCCTTGAGCGCCATGGCCGATTTCTCGCTTTCCATCTTTGCCCTGAACCGGAGCTTGGGCTCGTTGGATTGCTCGAATTCGGCGCAGCGCATGAGATGCTCGTACTCGTTGACGTGATCCACGCGGGCCTGCCGCGCCTCCTCATACTGCCGCTGCTTGTAGATCCGGTCCTCGTTCGCCGGGAGGCGCTTGGGATGATAGAACGTCGACATTACGGGGAAATGCCGATCAAGAACAACGAAATATCACTCCTGGAGCAAAATCTGCCTCAAGAACAAACGAAATATCAATCCTGGGAGCAAGATCTGCCTAGGGAAACGAAGAATGCCGGTCAAGAACAAGAGAAATATTGATCAGGACGCGAGAAATCTAGCCCAGGGGGGGAAGAACCGCGAAGAGGCATCCGGTAGAAACAAGAAAGATACACTGATCGATCCAATCTACCAGCGACACGCCGCCGCGATCACGCGATCATCGATTCTACCTACAAGAACCCTAAAAACGAAGAAAGAAGGGCGGAGAGCAGAAAAGGCGGGCGGACGGTTGAAAGACGAGAGCCCGCGCTCGGTGAGAAGAAACTAGGGCTGACGTGGAGTTAACGGAAATTAACAAACCGGTTAGAGTCCGAGCCTTTTGTGCCCATTTTTTAAGCTCCATGTTGGATGGGCTTGAGAGGATGGGCTTTGATCGCAGTTAGATCAAGCGTGGATTCCATTTCGTCGTCCAACTCTCCTACCACAGCGCTGCCAAGAACAAAAAAATTTTAGATCGATCGAAGAATCGAGAGTTCTTACATGTTGTCGCCTCTGATAATGTACAATCCCAAGACATGCTGCTCTACTCCAGTCTGGAAGGAAGAAACGATCAAAATCGTCGCAAACTGCTGGGAGTGGAGTGAAAGAGAAAACAAAAAGAGGAGGATCGGAAGCTAGAAATGCGAGAAGAAAGACTTTGCGAAAAATCCTGGCAAGGAAGCAATGGGAGAAAACCGAAAAGAGCTCAAGGAAAAATCGACAAGGGACGATCGAGAAAGAGTGGAAGGATTGGAAGCTCGAAATGCGAGAGAAGAAAGACGCACCGTTGTGGAGTAGACCCTCTCGTGCGATTCATCGATGATTAAGTTCGTCGCCTGATCGTATCCCTTGAGCATTCCCTGGAGAAGAAAAAAAATATCGAGACTAGAGATCAATCGGTGGGACGCGAGCGAGCTTACCACGATGTTCCGCCCATCGTTTGTGATGACAGAGATGAGCTCTGCGAGCAAGAAAACCCTGATTTTTAGCACCAGAACAAGAGCGAGAATGATTGGGAGCGAGGGAGCTACTTACGATTGACGAGGTATTCCAAGCCGGTGTCCTTGTTGGCGCTGGCCATTCCCGCTCGAGCCGAGCTTGGAAAGCCCCCTTTATGGAAGAACCCTAAAAACTAGCCCTATGCTTCATTTCAAATTCTAGCGAAGGCGCTGGCTGGATGAATGGAGATCACGGACGAGCTCGTCGGCACCATGTTCGCTGGAGCAGTCTTCAAAGATTGTGTGAGCGCTCGGCGCGAGGTCTTTCTCGTCTCGGCGAGCTGAAAGGATTTTATTTTTTCGCAGGGAGGGAAGATTAATTCCCTGGATTTTAATCCTTCCGAGGATCTGCTTGTCACGGCTTGCGACGACGAATCCATTCGTCTCTACGACACTGCAAATGCCAAGTATGATCGATTTCCTCCACGCTTGTTGCTGAGATTCTGGGTTTTGCGATTGCTTTCTAGGCTCACAAAGACGACTCAAAGCAAAAAATATGGCGTGGACCAAATTTGCTTCACGCATTCTTCCCATTCGGTCGTGTGTTCTTCCAAGAATGGATGGGATGGTAAGTTTGTGATTCGCAAAAAATCACTTCGAAAAAATTCTCTTTGGTATTTTGTTCTCCTAGAGTCCCTGAGATATCTGGATTTGAGCAAGAACACTTACCTACGTTATTTCAAGGGGCATCGAGATAGGTACGATCTCTCCCTTTTTTTTTGGAGAGAAGAACTTGACTGTGTTGTGGCTTGCTTCTTTCAGAGTTGTTTGCTTATGCGTAAATCCCAAGAGCCAAATTCTTATGTCGGCTTCTCTAGACAACACCGTTAGAATATGGGACCTCCGATCAAACGTTTGTCATGTCAGTAAGAACAGGAGGCTATTTCTTACTTGTTGATTTACCAGTTCCATTTTTTTGATCTTGTAGGGATTGATTCGCGTGCATGGAAGACCATCCGTAGCTTACGATCACAGTGGAGTTGTTTTTGGAGTGAGCATGGACGGGGGTGCCATCAAACTCTTTGACGCTCGAATTTTCGAAAAGGTGCGTGTTTGAGTTATTTCTTTCTGGTTCTTGTTCTTGTTTGAAGGTTTTCTCTCGTAACAGGGGCCGTTTGATACGTTTTATATACAAGACTCCACAGCCGAGGTCTCGGGCATGAAGTTTAGCAGCGACGGCAAGCTCATGCTAGCTTCGACCACGGATAGCAATGTTTATGTGCTAGACGCTTTCAATGGCAAACAGGTCCGTTTCTTGTGATCGTTATCGAAAGTTTATTTGTTTTTGTTTCATCAGCTTCATGTCCACAAGCTGGAGCCTTGTCCGGACGGAGGAACTTTGGAAGCTTCGTTCAGTCCCGATGGTCAAGTGATAATATCTGGTAACACTTCTAGCAAATTGTCATCTCAAGCTTGGCATTGAACTTACAGGTTCTGGAAATGGCACTCTTCATGCATGGAATGCTGTCACGGGTGCTGAGGTAAGTTTATGTTCTGTTTTGCGAGAAAGAACACATCGTTCTTAACTTGAGGAGCATTGACAGATTGCTACCTGGACAAGTAGCGACGGTGTTCCTTCCGTCGTGAAATGGGATCCACGACACTTAATGTTTGCCAGTGCTGCAAGCGTACTTACGTTTTGGATCCCAGATGTAACCAAGCTCAATACGCCTAGACAATCACATAATCAGTACAACTATTACTAAGGTACAATCGTTACAAAACAAGTGCTCTGTACACTTTGGGTTTCCTTTCTTTTTTATTGTTCCAGTTAGCAGCACCGAAGGGCTCTCTCAAACTCCCGATCATCCCTACAATTGTAGCCGAGGCTGTAAGCTCGAGCTGAATCAACAACATTTGCGTTAGTCAAGCACGCAATGCAAGAACATCACGACGAGTTTTACCAAGTCTGCCAGTTCCTAGAAACGGTTCCGGTTCTTCTGCTGCTACCAGCTGAGGCCCTTCCTGGTTGACATTCAAACGAGGCTTTAGAACGAAGAACCAGAGAGCACGAAACGCTTGCTACTTACGTTGGCCTCGTCCTCCTCTCCATCCTCTTCAACTGGAAACACACAAGGATCAAAACAGCGACCAGAAATCTTACAGACGTTATAGTTGGGACTCATGACGATCTCGCGACAAGCATCGCCACAAACTGGAACAAGCAACGCGAAACAGTGAGAAAAGAGGACGACGGACAAGCGACTTTCAAGCTTACAGTGCGCGCATCCGGTCTTCTCACAGATATAGACATCGCCAATCTGGTGATACGAGCAAGTTCTCCCTGAACAAGTGTGAGAGCCACTGTAAACTTCCGAGAGTTTGTGACTGCGCCTCCACTGGGTCACCTGGTCGGCAATGGACGGGTCAAACACTCCAAGTTCGTCCTTGATCTGCGAGAACATCCAAGTTCTGGATGAGTGAAAGAAGAAAAGATTGAAACGATCACCTGTGAAGGAACCGGTGCTTGGCTACGCTTTGCGATCTCCATTTGCAAGTAGTACTCTCGAAACTCGGTGTTCCTCAGCGACGCGATCACGTCGGCCTTGTCTTTCTGAAGCAACGAAGTAAAGTTAATCCCATGAGAGGAACAATTTGATCGCATGCCTCAAAGTAAAGCTGCTTCCACTCGATGCTAGAAAGCTTGCAAAAAGGCGGAGGACCCCATCGAAGAAAATAGCTGCGTTGAATTGTAAGAAAAAAACTGGTTTCTTATGGTAGAAAAGTAACTCACAGTTTTTTCCAAAGTGTTTCGTCCGAGGCCACACGTCGAAGATAATGGCAAACTTTAGCGCAGCTCGACAAATCCTGGAACGATCGATCGTAGAAAAATGAAGCGTAGCAAAGGTTTTAAGCACAGATCTTACCTCTGGCGAGAGGAACTTGAGAATGTTGCGAAACAAATCGGGTGGGATCTTCCGAAACTCGCCACTCTCGATGCAATCGAGATCCTCGATTCGGCGCTTCTTGGCGAGAGGCTGGATGGATTCTTCTTCCTGCGCAAAGAAGAAGAACATTAGCATTAGTTCTAAGTTAAAGAAACTAGCAAACCAAACGAAGAACTAAAAGGAATAGAGAAAAAAAATCTATAGAACTGTAGTAGAAAGTAAAACCTCTTCTTGCTCCACTGCGAGATCCTCGTCCTCCTCCTCCATCACCTCCGCCTCTAGAAACTGGGCGATTGCATCGTCCTCCTCCTCCTCGCCACCGCCATCTTCTTCCAAGCTCGCATCCCCCATCTTTCCCTCCTCCCCCTCATCCTCTTCGCGGGAAAATTCAGCCATAGCCGAAGGGAAAGAAAGAACCCCTCTTTGCCCCAAAACCCTCAGCTCGCGATCCACCAGCGCTGGCCTCAAGATCGGCGAGATCCGCCCGAGCGCCACTCCCCCGCCAGCGCCACCCTTGGAGCTCACCTCCATCGCCATCCCCCCAGCAGCTCTAGAGCTTCCATTTCCCACGTCGCGGCCGCGGGCATTTAAGAGGAAGCTCTAGGCCGGGCGCTCCGGCGAGCAAGAACGAATTCCTTTTCCAAACCGACTCCCTTTTGTACGGCGCCTGCACGGAGCCACACGGTAGGGAATATCCTATTTCGTACGGAGAGATGCCTTGTTCTTCTTCCTCTCGCTGATGCTAAGCAGCGGCGGCGCTGCCATCGACAAGCTCGGCATCGTCTCGATTCTCCGCCAATGCGCGAGCACGCGCGCGATCTCCGATGGGCGGCGGATCCACGGGCAGATCGTGGCGGCGGGGCACGGCGGCGACACCCTGCTGTGCAATCTCCTCGTCCAGATGTATGGCAGCTGCGGCAGCGTCGACGAGGCGATGGCGGTGTTCCTGGACGCGCCCAGCCGCAAGAACATCTTCTCCTGGAGTATCGTCATCACGGTTCTCGTCCACAACGGGGAGATCTCCATCGCCAGCGAGGTCTTCCGCAAGATGCCCCAGCACTCGCCCTTTTGCTGGAACTCGATGATCCAGGGGTTTGCTCGCAGCGAGCTCATGGAGGAATCCAAGCTCGCGTTCGATGCGATGCCCCAACAGGATCTCATCGCCTGGACGACGCTCATCACTGGATTTGCCGCGACGGGACACTCGATCCACGCGAAGAGGGCGTTCGATCGGATGCCACAGCACGATCTAGTCTCTTGCAACGCGATGCTCACGGCATTTGCCCAGAATGGTCATCTGGAAGAGGCGCACAGGCTGCGAGAGGAGATGCCACACAAGGACGTGTTCTCCTGGAACACGATGATCAAGACCCTCGCGGATCAGGGGTTGGCGATCCAGGCGAGATCGATGCTCCAGAGAATGCCCCAGCACAATCTCGTCTCGTGGAACGCCGCGATCCGGGTGTTTGCCAAGAGCGGGCAAATCGCCGACGCGAAAGAGGTGTTTGATTCATCGCGCGAGAGGAACGTCGTGTCGTGGACGACGCTGGTGTCCGGATTCGTCACCGCCGGCGCGATCGATCGCGCGAGAGTGATCCTCGATCGAATGCCGCAGCAAAACTCGGTGTCCTGGAACAATCTCCTCGCGGCGCACGGACAGAACAGGAGGATCGATCTGGCGCTGGCGGCGTTCCAGCGAATCGAGGACAAGAACGTCTACTCGTGGAACTCGCTGATCCAGGCGTTTGTGGAGGCCGATCGATTGGAGGACGCGAGGAGCCTGTTCGAGAGAATGCCACAGCGGGGATTGCCGTCGTGGAACTCGATGATCTCCGCCCACGGCGAGGCCGGCGATTGCGCGGCCGCGCGAGAGATCTTCCAGGCCATGCCCGATAGAAACCTAATCTCCTGGAACGCGATGGTCCAGGCGCTAGCCCTCGAGGGCCATATCCAAGAAGCTCGAGCGGTGTTTGACGCTGCCGGGAATCGAAACGCGAACACCTGGACCACGATGCTCGGGGCATATGCCTCGGGCGGGAAAACCGACGGCGCGATGGGCGTCTTTCAAAAGATGCCGTACCACGACACGGTGGCGTGGACGGCCATGATACACGCCCACGCCAAGGGCGGGGATTTGCCCACCGCGCGCCGGATGTTCGACACGTGGCAAGGCAACCATGACGTTGTGGCCTGGAATGCGATGATCGCTGGCTATGCGCAGGACGGGCATAGCGGGACGGCGCTAGGGTTCTTCAGGCTCATGGATCTGGAAGGGATCGCCCCGAATTCTATCAGCTTTGTGTGCGTGATTGATGCGTGCGCCACCGACGCCGCGATTTCCAGGGGAAGAATCGTGCATTCGGTCATCCGCCAGGACGATCCGGCGCAGCTCAGGGTCTCGTTCGTCGCGAATTCGCTGCTCAACATGTACGCGAAGTGTGGCAAGCTGGAGGAGGCGCGCGCGGTGTTTGATTCCATGGCGTCCCCAAATATGATGTCCTGGAACGCGATGATCTCGGCGTATGCGCAAAACGGCCATAGCTGGGAAGCTCTGGATCTCTCCCGCGCCATGGAGCAGCACGGGATCGATCCAAACGGGGTCACATTCGTCAGCAATCTCTTCGCTTGCAGCCACGCCGGGCTCATCGCGGATGGATGGAGATATTTCACAGCGATCTCGCCAGATTATGGGCTGGAGGTGACGATCGATCACTACATTTCGGTGATAGATCTACTGGGGCGCGCGGGGCAGACCGATGAGGCCTGCGAATTGATGCACAGCATGCCATTCGAGCCGGATTTCGCCGCCTGGACGACGCTCCTCTCCTCGTGTAAGACGAGCCTGGAGAACTGAAAGTCCATTTGCAATGTAGCGACCTCCGTGGATTACACATTTACCTCCAGGTAGAAATTTTTCTCTTTTTCTTCACGTACTGTTTTGGTAATTCGAGAATGTTGATAGGTCCGAAGGTGGCAGCGAAACTATACGGGAGCTTATCACGACAAACCAGCAACGAATTTGAGCACAAAGTTCGTGCGCTGCTCGACTAACAACGTCCGCTGCTCGATCAACAGAGTTTTGGTAAGGGCTCCCAAAGTGGGGAATTCACTCTCTGAATGGATTGTCACTTAACAAAATCTCTTCCACAGGTCGATGATCTGGAGCCACAGTGAAAATTGGATGTCACAAGTATGTCTTATTATTTCCTTGTGCTATGCTCTTATCTTACATGTTAGGTATGTCGATACTGAGCTAATAAGTCAGCTCACAGAGAACCGGTACGAGATTTAAGGTAGCACTGCGCGTTTTTTTACTAATCTAAGTACGGCTCTAAAGTTCTTGTAGTGTTCTGATGACAGAGATCAGATTGATCGTAACATAATGCCGGCGTGGCTTCCGCCCACGAAGAGTTCCTCGTGGAAAGGATGCCACGCCAATGCTGCACCAAAATAAAGAGGTGTTCAGTTCACTCTATGCTGTAAGTTGAAACACTTACCTTGATTACTTATCCCTTCAGCTAGTTAATGCCCGTTTACCATTGCTATACTGTATTTTTGTGACCATGCATGTTAGCTATGACCTCTATTTCACACAAGAAGCATAAGACTTTATGAATTTTTGCACGGTCAACGCTCCGGTCCACACTCCATAGTCCACGCTAATCTAAACTTAGCTTTTCCACTCCACCGTCCCCACTCAGTCCTGCTCTCCACCTTATCCCGCACACGATGCTAACCTTCGAAGTTGATGACCTTTGTCGTTCCAGAAGTTCCATGCTCCATTTTCTACAGCGCTCCATGCTTTTGGGAGTATGACCTTTGCCGCATGCTCCCGGCTCTCTCCAGACTCCGATATCCCGCTCCAAGCTCTTTTATCCTCCCTGCTCCTCCAAATTTCGAGCTCCAAGCCACGCTCCATGTTCCAAATGTCTATGTTCCAAGCTCCAAAGCTCTTTCGTGAAAGTCATGCTCCATCCATGCTACAGGATCTTTTACCTACAAAGGCCAAGCTCTCACGCTCCTTGTTCCACACTTCCATGATCTCCATGCTATTGGAACTGGGAAAATTCAAGCTCCCAGCCACGCTCTATGTTCTTCAACGCTTCAAGCTCTTTTATGCTCGTTGCTCCTCCAAATTCCGAGCTGTATGTTCCAAACTCCAAAGCTCCTTCGTGGTTCCAGCTCCCTCCACGCTCCAGTGCTCACAGCGTGCACAGTTTCCTGGCATCCCATTATCCTTTTTCTTTAAAGCAGCCATAATGGAGAGCCTTTTGTGGATCTAGAATATGGAGAACTACAGACTATTAATGAACGCACTTCTGGACACCTAGTGCTGAATGTGGTTTTGCAGCCCGAGAAAGATCAAAGATCAAGCATGAGGAAATGCAGTGACTGTACAATAACTTTTTTTATGATGTCGTGAGGATACATGGATCATGAGGTTTTAGGTTTTCTGGAAGGGTTGATGTTTAACTAAATATACCTTAGCCTCAATAAAGCAGATCTGGCTCCTTTTTGCACGCAGGCCTCACGTCTGCCACCTTGCGGTGTTCAGTTCCTTAGCATTCTTTCTTCTCTCCCTCCCATACTCTCTCAGCTCGCCCATTGGAATCATCTGAGAAGGGTTCTTATGATAGGTCAAGCAGGAGCGATGCCGCCAGGCCCTGGAGCTCCTGCTGCTCCATCGGCCGGCGTGGGGCGGGATTGGTCCCGCCGGGCACCAAGATGTCGCGGCACCAAGAAGGTGAGCATCGTCAGTCGCCAGGTTGACGTGGTGAGGCTCAAGCAGAAGATAGTGCTCGGAGGCTCTGCTTGTTCTTCCACTGTCTCCAGCAGCCGGGGTTGGAGCTCAAACATGGCTATGGCGTCGTCTTTCGCCGACTCTCTTGAGCGGTCTATCCGGGATGTGGAAACTGAGATCGCGGAGACAAAAGGCCAATTGAAGACGGAGCAGGATCCCGACCAGAAGAAGTTCCTGCAGATGAATTTGTTGCTGCTGCGGGAAAAAGAGTTGCTGGTCATGAAGAAAGAGAGGCAGCTGCGGGAGGAAGAGCTCAAATCTAATGGTAAGTCATCTCTTCCATGTGTGTGGTTATGGATGGATCTGGTCGTCTGGTAATCTCCGCATCCTTGTGGTTCTGTTCGATCTGTGTGAACTTGCTGTCTGCTCTTTGTGGCTGTGTTAATTCTGCTGTTCCAGGGGCGCTAACCCGGAAGAATGTTGACGACGTCTGTGCTGAAGTTTGGAAACGGGTGAAAGAACATCTTCTTTCCATGCCTCCGGAGCAACATTTCAAGCGTTCTTATTCACGTAGCAGCAAGGAGTTATGTACCTTGAATGGCCAGGCGGTTATGTTGCTAGAGGGGTTGAAGGATGGAGATTATATCGGGTCTGCGTCAGAGGTGCTTAGGAGCCTGGAGTATACAGACCTCTGCTTCTTGGTTGGCGCTTCTGGCAGTGGCAAGACAAGGACGCTCTACGAAATATCTTGTCAGAGGGACTCCATTTACTTGACGGGTGTTATGGGTAGCGGAGCAGGGGATGAAGGTTCTGGAGATCTTAATCACGTTGCAACAGAATTGGAACGTTTGTATCCTGAGGGAGTCATTCCAGAAGTGGCCTTAATGGTGTGCCTGGCAGCAGTTTTCATATCCAGGTTTTACATTTTGAGAGAAGCTCGCTCTGCAGGCGTCGACGTTACCCCGCTCGCCTGGCTTTTTAAACAAGTAAGATTCGTGTTTGGTTTGTGAGGGAGCTAAAATGTTTGTGTTTTGTGCAGGTATACTTTCCACACTTGAATTATCCATGGCGTGATCCATGGTGGCAGCTGACGAAGGGAATACTCAGTCTGATCCGCAATTCATCCGACATTCAAGATGCAAGCACCATCTTTTCTGACATGCTCGTTGAGCTGAAAGGACAGGTAGACTGGGACGGCGTTGTGGTAATAGACGAATGCCAGGAACTATCACGTTTACTGGTGAACAGGTTTAGGAGCGAGACTATGAATGAGGTGAACCGGTCGATGCTAGACAAGCTCGTCTTGGCTCTACGTGCGATGAACTTCAAAGAGACCATAATATCTGGGACATGCCGGCACTTGGTATGGATGGTGGACTCGCTTTCAGGCTCCGTGAAAGACACACTTAGCTATTATGTGTACTCAGACTTTGGGGAATTTTCTAGTGCTGAATCTATCAAGGAGTACACAATGAAGTTTGTGAAAGATGTGGAAGATTTCGACTTCAGCACGATTTTTGGTGTTTACAGAGGCAGATACAAGTTTTACGTGACAGTGTTGCAGATGTTCTTACGGGATTCAGAGGAGCAGCCATTGGTCGCTACAGACTATTTCTTGAAGAAGGCAGATGATTTGTGTAGGCGACCAGGCGCTGACCTCTCCATCAACAGATCTGTGTGGGACGATGTTGTGAAGTTCTTTGCGCTACCATCATTCCATCCCGGGTGTTGGGAGGTGGTCATAACTTTATTGCTGCTGCAGGTGTACACGGGAGTTCCTGTAAAACTGGCAGTCACGGACAGTGATTTAAAATTTGTGCAAGCAGGGATCGGCAGGCTGAGAAAGACTGTGGACAAGCCTTTGCATTTCAAACCGGATACAGATTTCTGCTCGGCTCCTCCTCAGAATGGAGCACAGGTCTCCCTTCGAACTGTTGAGATTGGAGAACCACTCGTGGTGAGGGCTTTGTGGAACTATCTCACAGCCAGTGGAGACATGCAGAAGAAGCTGATCAACGATATGGGTGTTTGCAGCAAGTCCGAGCTAGGGGTAAAGTTTGAAGCGTACTCCGTTCCCTTGCTTTTGGAGTTTCTGGAGAATAAGGCGCCAGTGGATTTTATCCCAAAGGTCTACAAGGAAAAAGTGGACGAGGTCTACAAGCATCCGCTACAAGTGCCAAGGTCAAACAACTGTGAGATGGTACAGCGAATGCCTGAAGAGGATGATGGGACAATCTTTCTGACATGGCTCAATCAGTTTGAGGAGGTCTTACAAGGAAATCAACAGGTATCCTCTTTGCATTTCCTATTTTATAGTGGTGAAGTAATTTGTTTGTTGCAGGTATCTTTTAAACCTTTTCTCCACAGTGGAGACATGACTCGTTTTGGACCTGATATGGTAGTGGCTTGCATCGGAAAAATAGGAAAGAAGAAAGTTCCTGTCTTCTCGCTCTACCAATACAAAGTTATGTCAAGGACAGATCTGACGAGTGCCTTGGACACATTGGACATTGATGATCTGTTCTTGCACAAGGGTTCCGGGGGAAGATCACAAGTTGAAGAGATGGCTGTCAACAAGCTCAAGCAACTTGTGCATTGTGGAGGGCTCTTGAAGTGGATTGTCTGCCTTACTACAGACATTAGTGATCTTCAGAAGAACCGCATATATGCTTCTACACGCAGGAATGTTCCAAAGATTCACAAGGGGAAATATATATGTGAGAATTTAAAGACTACAGGCCTTATTGGGATAATTGATAAGAATATGCAGGTGATGGCGGAAGAAAATGCATGGTTTCTTAATGCTATACAATATCTAAAACATGAGGATTAAATTTGAATGATTACTTCTTAATAAATATATTGGATTTACTTGATATAATCTTAATATATATGGTATGTGAATACTAGTGTGCATGTTCAAAAGGATATCCTCCAAGTGATGTGAAACGCTGCAAACACTTCTACTATATACCCATGTATCCAAGTGTACCTATAAAATAAGCATATCCATATCGCCCATATGATTGGAGTAAGAGTTAGTGAATATTACATGATATGATTAAAGTAAGAGTAGATATTCTTTAGCACTATCCATTTTCAAATTTTCAATGTTAATGAGATAAAGTATATTTATATATGTTCTACAATATAAATCAAGTAAGTAATACATGTCAATATAAACTTGCAGACACTCCTTCCTGTATAAGATCAGAGCACTTACATGAGCAAAAGGCAATCTAACTTTTTGCTATCCAAATTATGAGCAAAAACATATTAATATGTTTAATATACAAGTATGCTCTTATCTCTGTATTTCATATATAATATAATGACAATATAGTAGTAAGTTTGAAATATTACATCATAAAGAATTTTTTATATACTGTACAATATAACTTTAGTTCTACTTCACCATTCTTGCTATTTGCTTCATCACTTTTCAATTAATACTCAAAAAATTAATCAATTAATTTATAGGCATTTTGAGCTTCAAGAAACCACACTCAAAGATTCAAAGATATTATTTGTTAAATTTTCAGAATTTTGCCTTTCAAATAATGTACTTTAGCTTTGGGCATTTAGCATTTAATAAAAAGTATTTGGATTTTTATTATAAATTTATGCATTAACAACATAAAAATTCAAAAGTATGGTAGTGTGGCGAGCTTTCCAAAGTAAATGAACAAACTTAAAATTCTTAAACACTTTGTAAAAGTTATTGGTGATGCTTTATGCAAAATATGTGATGTATGCATTATTGAATATTGATTAAATACTTTTTGACACACATTTTTTTAAATTAAAAATAAAGTATAAGGTTTACTATTTAGATGTTATATTTCAATTAATTTTTTAAATACTTAAGTAGCTTTAATTTTTATTATTTTTAATATCAATTATACCAACCTTCAACATCTATACTAGTTGTTAAAATGTATCTAAGGTATCTTAACCTCCCTCAAATATATCCTATCAAACAAATCAAAGACCTACAATGTATAAAACTAGTATGAGAGAAATAGTCTTTTGAAAGTAAAATTTTTATCAACCTCAACACAAATATATTATTTAAGTTACTTATGTTAATATTAATTCACAAATATAAGTAATTAAGCAAGATAAACTTTTATCAATAATAGAAGCATAGAGTCTCTAAAAACAAACCTTCTCATTTCCATTGAATTATATAATATTTCTTCTAAAATTATAATCAATTCAAAATGCTAGCAATAGCTACATTTTTACTTATATTTTAATCTTGTCAAGAAAATTGTATCTTACCCTGAAAATAATCTTTATTTTGCCATTAAGATCAAATAAATAGACACCCATACGTTAAAATAGAATAGTCATTTTAAATTTGAAAGGGAATATTTTCAAATATGAAAACCTTAAAATTTTCATGCAATTTTTTAAATATTCCTTTTAATATTCTCGTGTTAGAGTGGAAATATAATTTTAGACTACTAAAGAAACATTCAACATATTAACCACTCCTATCTTGTTTGTAATTGTGTAAATATAAATATCTAAAGGTTGATATTTGCTTCTTATCTACAAAACAGTTACTAAGTAAAAGTATATCTTCATGTTTTAAGCTTTGGCATCAAGAAGATAGATTCATTATATACTAAAAATTCAGAATTGTTTTAGCTACAAATTTAAAATATTACATTTCAAGATAAAAAAATTTGGTTGAAGGCAAGGTTATAAAGTAGCCGAGAATAACTAACTCTCCTTATATTCACTCCATCTCAATTATGACAATCATGTAAGCTTTTGAGATTTCTAATCTATATTAGCACTTATAATACGTTTATTAAAAGTAAATTTTAATAATATAAAAACTAATAACATACCAAAAGGAAATAGTAAGAATAAATTCAAGAAAAAGGATTATATAGCAAATTTAAAGATTGACATTTACCTTATAAAGTCTTAATAATTATCTCTAAAGCAATTGAATTCAAGAATCTACTTAAACTCATGTATTTAATTGATGTTACAATCATGCTCCACATTAGTATGACACAGTAGGATACCAAGAACAAAAGATAGTGTAATCATAACCCACAGAAACTAGTGCACCTATATATGATATCAAAGACAACAGAGTAACATGTGCAGCAAGTGGCATAACCGAAGAAAATGATGCAATGAAGATTAAAGAAACAGAGTAAATCTAAGCATAACAATAACTAAAATTCTAAATTTGGTGAAAAAGTTACAATAAAGCCTACTGAAAAGCTTTTCTCCAAACTAAACTTCACTTGGGGGAATAAATAGATTAATTAGGGTTAGACCCCATATATAAATAGCAGAGTAAAAATTTGAAATAATTTTGGGTGGCGAGCAGTAAGAACCAGTCCTTTTGTTGTGTTGTTCAGAACTTTTTTCATTATCTCAAGGTTGGTTTTCGTCCTCCAGGTAGGACTCACTGTTTGCTTCTTATGTCCAGGCTTAGAACCACCTCTTATCATCTCGTTCAAGTTGTGAGCCATGGACGTTACTTAACTTACATGCCTAACTCTTGTCTATCACGTAGAGTAGGTATCCTTCCAACGCAGATAATCTGGACTTCTATCCTGTCCTTCCTCAAGCACGTCTACTTATGCAGTGCATATGCAGTGCTTGGGAAATTTGGAAACTCCTTTGCCTACTTTAGAGTGCTCCAACCCATCTTTGACGAGAGGCCCTATGTCTTCTTTGTCATGGACATGAACTTCATGCCCAGTACGCAGACTCTCCAGTAACTCGTGCGCTGCCGCCAACACATGCATCACCAAGCTGGGAATCTGGTCGCTTCAAACAGCACAAAAGGGCCAGGTTCCTCCTCAACGTGGACATCCTGACCGTAGCAGCGAGGATTCAGTGATCCAACACAAGCCCAGCTCTAGAAGGTTTCTGACATGTAGTATAGATTCCGCTTACTTTTGCATTTCTGGAGAAGAAATACTTGAGTAAACATCTTTTAGTCACTCCTCACTCTCTTCACCAGCCAAGTGCTGCCTCATTGCCTCCAAGTGAGGAGGGGACAGTGGCATGATAAACTTGGCAAAGCCTAATCCGCCAGGATTCGGTGCATAATGTACATGTATGACGCCTCTCGTCTGCATGGCCTTCAACACACTCTGATCGCCTCCAAACACTTTGTCACAAGCAGCCGCCCACTCGACGACGCCATCATCCGAGCTTGTCATCAGCACCATGACCTCGTTGAACTTGGCAGCTGACCACCTGGATTAAGAAGAGATCGGTGAGAAAAATGAAAAGAAAAAAGCTGCTACTTACTCTGGATCCGTCACTCCACCCAGGATACACAATCTCGTTGAGTCCACCATTCCACCTAGTTCTTCCTCCAGCAATTTTGGATCCTTCAATGCTGATTTGGCAGCGTCTAGTAGAAGCAAGGGGCATCCACCACATATACCATATATCTTCGTCCAATCCTGCTCACTAACATAACCAGAGCCTCTGTCTGCCAAACATTTGAAGAAAAAAGCCTTAGCGCGCTCCTTGTCCAAGTGTCCTACATAAACAACTTCTACCTCGTCCCCAATCCAGTCCTCGCGAAAGGAATCGACGGAGGTGGCCATGATCACAGTTGCCTTTCTCTTGCGTGCCATGGTCTTGAGACACTCTACAACGGGTTTGGCATCTGCGTGAGGATCTCCCGTCAGCTTGTGAGCATCATCAAGGATCAAGACGGGCGGAACATCATCATCTGCCTGCCGCTGTATGACAGCCTCCACATCGCTGAGAGTATTCCCAAGAACCCTAGAGAACATCTCAAAGAAGTGAAGGGGCGCCTTGACATGCTTGTCCGCCTCCCACACGCTCTGGAACCGCTTCAGTAGAGTCGTCTTCCCAGAATTTTGTGGCCCTAACACCATTACTATGCGATCTACGCCTGCCACTGCAAAATCCACCAGCCTATCCAGCTCCCCTTCCCTCGCCACCTTCAAGCTGTGAGCTGCCATCCCTAAGATGGAATGGTTGTGATGGATATATATACACGTCGGATGTCAACCGGACGATGAGGGCTGGATTATATTGATCGTCCGATCAGTGATTTCGAAATTTAGGGTTCTTAGGGCGATGTTCGCCTCTAGCGACGCCGAGGCGCCCGGGTTTGGGCAGGATGCCGCCAACAGCGCCATTCCAGCTCCAGGCAAGCGCATTCGAAAGCCCGTGCAGCGCCGATCCGTGGATTACACCTCTACTGTCTTGCGCTACCTCCAGGTAGAATTTTTTTCTTTTCCGCGTTCCTTTTCAGTGATTTCTCTGGTCGGGTATGGTGATAGGTACGAATGTGGCAGCAAAACTATGGGCAAAAGCCAGTGCTCCAGCCAACAACGTCGGCCGCGCTGGATGTAAGCTAGCGTGGTTTTTGAGAGGTTTTTCTAACAGGAGTTTCTACTTGCAGCTTCTTCCAACGGGAGCTTATCTCGACAATCCGGCAACGAGTTTCAGCACAAAGTTCGTGCACTGCTCGACTAACAAAGTCCGCTGCTCGATCAACAGAGTTTTGGTAACTTGCTTTGCTACTGTCAAGTGTTCTCGTCACTGATTTTTGTTTCTATCCTTCGTTTCAGTGGACTCCTACTGGACGTCGTCTCATAACGGGCTCCCAGAGTGGAGAGTTTACTCTCTGGAATGGGTTGTCGTTTAACTTCGAGATGATCTTACAGGTGTGTAGTGTTTTTTATTCATCTTCCATGCGTTGTTCTTATAAAATCTCTCCCAGGCGCATGATAGTGCCGTAAGGTCGATGATCTGGAGCCACAATGAAAACTGGATGGTTACGGGCGACGACGGTGGATGTATCAAGTATGTAGTATGTCCCTGTGTCGTGTTCTTCTCTTACATGCTACTTATGTAGATACTGGCAAACAAATATGAACAACGTAAAAGCGAACAAGACAGCTCACAGAGAACCGGTACGAGATTTAAGGTAAAAATTTCGAGTGGATTCAGTTGGAGTTTATCTTATACTATTACTCTTCCTTGTTTCTCCAAGTTTTTCAAGTACGGATCTGAAGTTCTGCTCGTGTTCCGATGATACCACAGTCAAAATCTGGGATTTTGCCCGGTGTCAAGAAGAGCGTTCATTAACTGGTATGTCAATGTAATTTAGTTCTCTATGTTCTTATGTGTTTGGCTTTGTACAGGTCACGGCTGGGACGTGAAGAGTGTGGATTGGCATCCACAAAAGTCTCTCCTCGTTTCTGGTTTGCTTTTACGTGCTTTTGAGAAAATATTGTGATATGTTCATCGCAGGTGCGAAGGATAATCTCGTGAAATTGTGGGATGCCAGGACGGGTCGTGAACTCTGTACACTGTAAGCATTATTTTTTGTGAAATAGCTGTCATTAGCTAACTTAAATTACAGGCATGGTCACAAGAATACAGTTCTTTGTACAAAATGGAATAACAATGGAAATTGGGTGTTAACCAGCTCAAGGGACCAAGTAATCAAGGTAAGTGTTTCAACTTATGGCATAAAGTGAACTGAACGCGTGGTGTTTTCTTTCTCAGCTGTTTGACATCCGAACCCTGAAAGATATCGAGACTTACCGTGGCCATAAGAAAGAAGTAGCATGTACGTTGCATTGGATGAGTTTAGAGTGCTCTTACGTTTTTATTTTGGTGCAGCATTGGCGTGGCATCCTTTCCACGAGGAACTCTTTGTGAGCGGAAGCCACGACGGCAGCATTATACACTGGCTTGTTGGGTAAGTTATGCAAAACTGGATACGTTCAATCTGACTTTGCATTTTTGTTTAGGCACGATCAACCTCAGGCAGAAGTCTCAAATGCTCACGACAACAACATTCTCGATCTGTCCTGGCATCCCATGGGCCACATACTTTGCAGGTGTTGTTTGGAACACACTTTTCTCTTGTTCTTAGTAGTGACTTTGTCGTCTGAGCAGCGGAGGCAGCGACCACACCACGAAGTTCTGGTGTCGAAATCGTCCCGGTGATACCACTCGCGACAAGTACAACGCACCTCTCATGCAAGGTCAGTTGTCTTTTGCTTAAGACTCACTTCCAGTGACTACAACAGGGGCCTCGAACGAGCAAATGGCACCGCTGGGACGAGGATCTGGATCGGTTCCAATGGAAGCCTCGAGCTTGGGCAGCTCATTCCTGGGTGTTGGAGGTGCTGTTGACGAAGGCACCATCCCCGGCGTTGGCATGGCAATGCCGGTGGTCCAAGCTCCTGACAGTGGTGCTGCTCGGATACCTGGTATTCCTTCACGACCGCCGATGGCAATGCACCATCCATTCCCTCCTCAACTACAAATGCAGCCTCCTCAAGACATGTATGGTCAGTTTGCGCCGCCACCTCCGCCACCTCTTCCTGGAGCTGCTCCTGTTCCTCCTGGCATCCCGGGCATCCCACGGCCAAGCTTTCGTCATTTCCAGCAGCAAATGATCCCAGGACTTCCTGGATTCCAGGTGAAAACAAGCTTGACTTCTCGTTTGTTTTCTGGTATTAATCGATCGGTGGAATGTGGTTTTGCAGCCGGGAGAGCCTAGCTAGAGCAAGCACGAAGACTGGACTAGAAGAAACCGATCCTTTTGACAAAATTACCATATATGTAAACTTTTGGATTAAGTTCCTCTGATTCACGTTAAACTGGAGCTAATTTTTAATGCTTCATCTGTGATTTAGTTGATGATACAAGCTTAGAAGTCAAATATGCGTGTTTCACACCTTTCGGGAAGTCTCCTGAATTAGATACATCAATTTAAGCCTAATTTTATGAGATTGAAAGGTAGTGTGAAACTCAAATGCTTGCCATCATGCAATCTCCACATCTGCTTTGTCATCGCCATACACTCTTTTCAAGATAATCTTGATGTTCTTGTCTAAAAGCTTGAGACCATCCTTGGTTGCCATATATTCAGTGATCTACAATGGAAACATCCTCCTAAAAGAAGAAAGAAAATAACTTGGTTTTACAAAGCATATGGTAGAATATTCTAGCATCTACAATGAATATGCAAACCTAGTTTTAGTTTGCCAACGGTTCTGTTAAACTGAGGCTCCGGGATATACTCCGCCGACGTGGCCATTCCCCATTGTTCCACACCTTTCCCTCCGCGGAGGTTATTGAATTTTCACCAGGGTTTTCAGGGTTTGTGGCTATGGCGCTCCCAGATCCGGGCCGGCGGCTTGGCGCTTCGACTTCATGGTCGGATGAAGTGTAGCTGATCGAGAGGATGTAGGCTAGGGATCGAGCAGGATGGATGGGATTGAGTCTGTCTATGGGCGCGGCGCGCTCGGCAATCTCACAAATCGCAGCAGGCGTTCCAATGGAACAGCTGGGCCGAGCAGTCCATTTTCTCTCTCCCTGGATCCCTTTGTGTGGGAGAGCGGGTATGAGAATCGCGGAGGCGGGGCATGGGTTTCGAGGAATAGTCCTCCACTCGACGAGGATTGCGAGGGCGTGTATGAGATGAATGGGGCAAGTCCGGCGATTTCACCGCGAGGAGGAAGCCCGAATGGCGGTGTCAAGAGCATAATGCTTCTAGCCAAGGACAAGGAGGCTTTGCTGGAAGAAGCCATCAGGTTGAAGCGCGCTCTCCACGAGAAAACGTTTTATCTCAGGCGAAATCGAGTCCATGCTACCACGATTCAGATCGAAAACAGGTGTCTCGACTTTTGCTTTCCTCTTTGAGCTCAACAAAGAAATGCTTCTTTTCTAGTTTCACAGGAAGCTAGAGTTTGATATCAAGGATATGGAAGCGCAGGGGTCGCCTCTAGACAGCGCCAGATCTCCTCGTGGAAGTAGCATACGCACTAAGCTGAAAGGTAGTGTTCTTCGTTTTTGCTTCTCGCTGTCTACTTATTCCTTGGAGCGTTGTTTTGCAGGTTTAAGGATCAGATACGAAGATATGCGAAGTGCTTGTGATGCTCAGCACGAAGAAGTAGCGGCACTGCGCAGGGATGTACGCATTACCACCACCCAAGTAAGCAAACGTGTTGAGATCCATTTCTTCATGTTTGTCTTACTAGAGATTCTAGGCCCGTTGCTCTTGTTGTAGGAGATGGAAATGGAGAGAGATGCGTTGCTACATGAGATAACGAGAATGCAGAAGGACGTCAAGGGGCTGAAAGCAGTCCAGAATGCTCTCAAGTGCGAGCATCAGGAGCTGTGTCAGATCAAGCACAAAGCTGACGAGCTGGCAGTTCTTAACTTCGAGCTAGAAAACTGCATGGGTGTAAGGATTACATTTCACGATTGGTTTTGTGCCTCAGTATCTGCTTTGGCAGGGCGTGAACAAAGATCTCGAGAGAACAAACCAGGATGTGATCATTTTCCGGCAGAAAATGACGGAGTCGAGTATCGAGGCCAGAAAGAATGCAAAGCAATTCAAGGAGCTGGAAGAACACACTGAAGCCTTGAAGAGGCTCCTTGCAGACGAAAGGTCCGAGCGGCGGGGTCTAGACAAGGAGCTCGCAGGCTTGGAGCTGCAGCTTAAGAAGGCTGAGAAGGAGCTTACTGCGAAGGGACTCAAGAAGCCGGCTTCTCCGAAACCAAAGCCGAAGCCGAGAGAGAAAATCTGGGAAGTGACAAGTCCTGGGAAAGGAGGAACTTCTCCGCGTTCACCTAGGAAAGATCAAGACGGGAAGCCGAAATCAAAAGGTGGCAAGCCCGGTGGAAAAGGTGGTGATGCTGCCGCTGCCGCTGCTGCTGCCGCCGCCGCCGCCGCCGCCGCTGCTAGTGCAGCGTCATTCAAGGCAAAGAATACTTCTGCAAGGCTGTTTGGAGCTCTCTCTAAAACAGAACCAAGGCCGGGAGGTGCTGCGCTCGAGGACAGGGCCGGGGGAACGTTTAAGAAACAGGCATCCAAAGCTTCTGGCACTGACTCGAGGCAAACTAGTCCGGAATCGTTCAGGAAAAAGACCTTCAAGGAGGGCACTGCTGCTTTTGAGTCGCAGGAGACAATGCGTAAGAAGGCTGAAGCACTCGAACAAAAATCACTCAAGGAGGCTGAAGCACTCAAACAAAAATCACTCAAGGAGACTGAAGCACTCAAACAAAAATCACTCAAGGAGGCTGAAGCACTCAAACAAAAATCGCTCAAGGACGTTGCACTCTCGAAAGCTTCCGAGAGGCCTCAAAGTACTGACGCGCTCAAGAAAGAAGCTTCCAAGGCTGCGAGGCCAAAGGCCGCCGAACCCACGAGTAGATCCACCAGTCCGAGTGCTACGCCAGGAAAAGCCGAGAAAGCTTCTGCGGGGAAATCCAAAGACAAGGCGGCTGACAAGAAGGCGGAGCCGGGTCAAGGTGGCAAGCGCGGAGCAGGCTTGAAAGACGAAACAAAAGGAACGAAAGACGAAGCAAAAGGAACGAAAGGAGATGTTTTGCAAGCGCAGAAGGAAAGACAGCGGCTGGAAACGGAGCTAGCTGCAAAGATGGAAAAACAGAAGCGGGAGATGGAGCTAGCGGCGAAGCAAAGAGAAATGGAGCTAGCTGCGAGGCTGGAGAAACAGCAAAAGGAAATGGAGCTCGCTGCAAAGCAACGGGAGATGGAGTTTCTGGCGAAGCAACGAGAGCTGGAAGCTGCTACTGCTAAGCAGCGGGAAATGGAAGCTGTTGCCGCTGCTGCTGCTGCCAAGCAACGGGAAATGGAACTGGCCGCCGCTGCTAAGCAACGAGAGATGGCGGAGCTAGCTGCCGCAAAAGGATTGAAGCTCAAAGCCGAGTCCAGGGACGAGGCATGCCAGACCTCCGAGACAGCGGACTCTTACGACGAGTTGATGCGAAAGATGCGTAAGCTGGAGGACGAGCTGGCCTCGCACAGGTCACGGGAAAGCTCTCCAGGGTCGTCTTCTACTCCGCCACCTTCGAGGGCATTCACGAAGAAACTCACCATCAAAGTCGATGACAAGCAGATGGATCGAAAGCTGACGAAGAAGGCGACGGTGAAGAAGCCGGATGTCGCTCCGGCCACTCCGGGTACTCCCAGGAAGAGCAAAGTGGCGTCGACTCCGGCAACTCCGAAAGAACCAGAGCGAAAGCCCGAGCCGCTAAAGCCAGAGCCAAAGAAGCCGGAGCCAGTGCCAATAACAGTGCCAGTTCCAGAGCCAGAACCCGTCCGCAAGTATCCAGCGAGACAAATTCGTCGGCAAATCCTCATGGCGGATCAAGACTTCGCCGAGGACACGAAGCAGATAACCGGCCCAGCGGATGCACCCAGGCCCAGGAGCGTCATGTTTGAGAGCTCGAGCTTCAACGTCTTGCTGGCGGAGCCCAGCACGGATCCTCTGATTGAAACGCAGGCACCGAACGAGTAGAAACAAGAACCATCTACGTTCTTATATCGTCCTGGGAAAAAAAACTTGGGACAACGATCGAGCCAGCTACCAACGTAGTAGAAGAAGTTGTCATACTGTTCTAGCAGACCTCGGGCTGTTTGGTTTGGAACCGGCGAGTTTATCCGGACTTGGAGTTGCGGGGTACAAGCTGAGGCCTCTGGCGTTGAGCTTCTCCTCGACTGTGACAAGCTCCGCTTCCAGGCAAACGCGCTTCTCCTCCAGGTTTTTCTTTTCCAGCTTTTCTTTCTCCAGGCAATCCTTGGCCAGCGTGATCTGGTCCTCCAAATCCTTGCATCTCTTCGAGCTTCTCTTGGCGAGAAGGCTCGACTCTGTTAGCTTTTGTCTGTGAGCTACAATTTCGCGATTTGCCTTGTCCAAGGCTTTAAGAACAACCTGTGAAAGAAGATCTTTAGGATTTTTGTTTTCTAGATCGTGAGCTTACCTCCATGCAGTTTTCTAGATGATAATTCAAGACTTCCATGTCGCCCGCTTTGTCCCTCATGCAGCACAGATCTTTGGTCTCGCAACAAAGCTGGCTGTGCACCAGCTTTAGCTTTTTCACATCCTTTTGGAGTTTGGCGATCTCCTCTACAAACACATCTTTTTCCATCTCTATTTCCTGTCCGTGACAAATTCACTTGTGCGTGTCAGCAAAAACCTTCACCTCTTACAAAAGCTTACTCTTTGGTGTGATATCCTTACGTCCCTTCTCAAGAGCGTGATCTCTTCGTGCTGGCTATCACAAATATTTTGCAGCTCCTCGAACTGTGACTTCATTCCTGGGAGGAAAAAAAATCCTCACATATAAGCCCAGAAACTAAGGCAAAGAACGAAACAATCGAACCGTGCCTTGGAGCTTAAGCCTCACTCGAGACGATCCACTCGACTTTGTGCCCATGTTTCCTTGCATCTCCATGTCCTTGATATCATTCTCGAGCTTCCTGCAGTTCTTTTTTGTGTTCCAAGTCAAGATCAACCAGCCCAATAGAGATGAGAAAGAGGAAAAATGGAAGAAAGAAAACAAAGAGCTCACTTGTTCTCGATTTGGACGGCAGAAGCGTGAACTTTGTCCCGCTTCAAATAGAAAGCCTGATCGATGAGCATTCTCTTCAACTGGATGATCTCCTCGAGCAGCGATTCCTTGTCCCTGCTTGCGAACAGCAAATTCTGGAAGGAAGCGGGGCTCTGGCCCCTGGATTTCGATCCAATCAGCCCCTCAGTGATCTCTACAACCCCGTTCTCGTTGCAACCCGGTAGAGGCGGCGGCGTGGGAGGAATCCAAGTGCCTCCACCCAGTTCTGGATTTGGCGGATCCCACACGAATGGATCCAGACCGTGAGACAGCGGCGTATCCTTTCGCGTCGGCCGCTTGCTAGGGATGGGCCGAGGAGCATAGGCGCTCTCCATTCTCTGCTCCAAATCTTTCTTCTCCCTTTCAGTATTTCTAGCTGGAATTTCTACCTACAATCGCATGGCGCCTAAGGTACAGCAAGATTCCTTGTTGCCTGCGCTGCCGCCTCTCGCTGACGCTCAAGAGCAAAGCCGCTGTCGACGCTCGCCGGATAAACCCTAACACCGATAACGTCCATGGGATTCCAATGGCAAAACGCTTGTGCGCCGTCGATCTAGCGAGCATATACCACTCCTTTAAACGACGGCCGTTGGAAAGAGCGGTAAAATTCGTTGGGCTTGATTTGGATTTGATCCCGCAACGTCTGGAGTTAGGGTTTAGGGCACCAGCTATGGGAGTTCCTAGAAGCGATGGCGATGGCGCCCGGACTCTCCAGCTCCTCCGGGCGCGAATGGGCGGCCAGGTTTGCGAAATTCACTCGTGCTGGATGAGCGATGAGTATTTTGTTTTGTAGAGCGTCGATGCAAAGGAAGTTGGATTTGTGTGTAATGCGGATGTAAGCTACAGCGAGGAGGAACAGCCTCAAGTGAGCGCTTACTCTTTTTTTTTCTTGTGATTAAGTTACAAGAAAGTCACAAGATTTCTTACAGTCTCGTGAATTGTTTTCTTCTCTCGGCAGGCTCTCGAGTGGCTAGCTTTTGCAGAGAAGTTCTTTTTGGAGAATGCGTCAGCTGACACGAATCTCAAGCTTCTCAACACATTCCTACAATCAAAATCGGTGTTTGTAGGGAATGGAACCCGGATCACTCTGGCGGATCTCGGCATGTTTGTGGCAATTCGCGAGAAAGTGGTGAGTTCTTCGACTTTGGTTTTATCGGCTTGTTTTTGTAACACCTCGTTAGGCCGCTATTCCAGTAGAGGACCAGGAGAATTTGCCAAACTTGTTTCGATGGTTCGACTACGTTCAGGTATGTTTAGTCTGTATGTTTGTCGAAGATCTTTTTCGCTGTTTCTACTTAGAACAAGGAAGACGTGCGTCAAGTCTACGCGCAAATCTACATTAAGAAGCCATATTTCTCTCCACCGGTATTTTGCGCTTTGTGCTTTTGTGGCAGTCTAATCTACTGTATTTCTTGTAGAACTTGAGTGATCAGGATTCTAGTAAGGCATCCAAACCAAATGTCGACGGAAAGAGCATGGCGGAAACGGTAAGCAAGTGGCATTACTTTCTTATACCTTAGATGTGACTCTTATTGAAATTTTAAGAAGGATAACAGGAACGCTCCTTCTCCTCAGCCTTTGCCTTCGCCTGCGCCGCCTCTACCTGCGCCAACACCAGCAGTAAGCTACTGCCTATGCGTCTTTTATTTATTTTCTTGGCCTTTACTCACTATTTGTATTTGCAGCCGGACAGCAGTGTATCTACTGTGAGTTCTGTCAGCAAAAGCAAACCAGCGAAAGAAACGAAAGAGAAGCCTCCCGCACAAAAGAAAGAAGTCGACTGCGATGTCAGCGTGCTCGATATATGCGTCGGACAAATCAAGAAAGTGTGGAAGCATCCATCAGCTGATACGTAAGTGTGAGGCTTTGGGATGATTTGATCTAATGCTTTTTTATTTTCCAGTCTCTATGTGGAGGAAATTGACGTTGGAGAAGCACAACCGAGACAAATTGTCAGTGGTCTGGTCAAATACGTACCTGAAAGTGAGATGCTGGTAAAAGATTGCGGCTAAAGCAAACACCAACGTTGCTGACATATTGATTCTTCAGAATAGAAGGGTGCTCGTCCTTCTAAACGTTAAAGCCGGGAAAGTTCGGGACGTTCTCTCGTCTGGCTTGGTAAGTTGTTGTTTTCTACGATCCAACAACAAACTAATGGACTTACAGGTTCTTTGTGCGTCAAATGGAGACCACAGCCAATGTGAACCTGTGTCTCCTCCGGACGGCGTTCCTGTAGGTGAAAGAGTGAAATTCGCTGGGTAAGGAAATCAACGCACTCCCATCAATGCTTTGACGCCAACTGATCTTCCCTGTAGGCACGATGGGAAAGCAGAGGAAGTGTTGAATCCCAAGAAGAAACAGTGGGACAAGATTGCTCCTGTAAGTTGATGAAAGACTTTCCATGTTTTGTTCACTCGAACGATGTAAACCGTGTGACTTGCAGGAACTTGGCACTGACGAGCAGGGCATTGCAAATTACCAAGGTGTTCCCTTCCAAACCTCTAAAGGACCATGCAAATCAGCAATCGTCAATGGATCAATCAAATGAGAACCAGGAGAACCAAAGGTGATCCATAGTTCGTGAAGAAAAAATATTCTATATACTTTATAATGGATCAAACTCTTCAACTATAGATTGGTTTATCTGGGACCAGACGGCTGGTGTGCTACCATGGCCACACTGACGCTACCGCCAAGATGGTTAGTCGAAGAGAACCGAAGAACTCCCGCAGAACTCAACGCAAACCGGAAGAAGAGAGGCGGCTCCAAAATCTCCTTTCGACCTTCGAGCATCTGGACGACTGTATCCATCGGGGGTCTTTGGCTGGGATTATCCTGGATGCACCACAGAGCTACCTGGAGCATACTTTTCACCTCGTCCTCGTCCACACTATCTCGGATGCTTGTATCCACGACTTTGAGAAACTCTCTCTTGGAGACTCGAGCTACGACCCAGGCCGGGAAGTACCACCACAAAGCTTGTTCCTCCTCGTCCATTGGAGCTTCACGACAGTCTTCTCCACCATGGCCGCCAAGCTTGGAGAGGTTCCTTCGTCCACCTATGAGCTCCAGCAGCACCATACCATAGCTGTAGACGTCGCATTTCTTCGTGGCTACCGAATGTAAGAGCCACTCCGGGGCGAGATATCCTGGAGTACCTCGAACATCAGTCACGGTCTGGCTTACATCCCGAGTCTTGAGCAGCTTCGCCATGCCGAAATCGGAGAGCTTGGGACGAAACTTATCGTCGAGAAGGACGTTCTCGGGCTTGATGTCGAGATGGATGATCAGCTGCCGCGATTCCTCGTGCAAGTATGCCAGGCCTTGAGCTAGTCCCAAGGCAATATCGCGACGGCTCTGCCAGTTCAAGAAGCGTTCTTCGAACAGCCACTTATCCAAGGATCCATTCACCACGTACTCGTAGACGAGCATGAGCTGGTTCTTCTCGGAGCAAAAGCCATAGAGCTGGACAACGTTGTGGTGGCTTATCCGTCCCAGCGAGGCCATCTCCGCGAGAAATCCCCTGTCATTCTGGTTCCGGTTCTCCAGGCGCTTGACCGCCACCTTTCTCCCGTCCGCCAGAGTCCCTTCATAAACGGTTCCAAAGCCGCCTTTACCAAGGCTCGAAGCGAAGTTCCCAGTCGCCACCTCCAGCTCTTTGTATGTGTACTTCTGAGCCGAGCCCTGCAGTGCCAGAGCCAAAGCACGCTCAACTTTGTCAAGCCTGTGCTTCCAGATCATCAGCACGACCAAGCCGAGAGCTGATAGCAGGACCACGCTCGCAGCAATGCTGACTCCAAGCAAAACGGTGCGATCCTTGGGCTTCTTCCGCACGAAAAGCTCTGCGTTTTGCAGCTTGAGGAAGCCATCGAAGTTCGGATCCCTGGTGAGGCCTCCATACATCCGGTCGACGAAGAAACAGGTGCTCGACTGCTTGTTGTAGAAGAGTGCGCTGCAGGAGCAATTCGCTAGGCACAAGCTCCAGCACTCGCTCAAGGTGGAAACTCTGTCGGCCTTGGTGTAATTGTTGGAGAAGTAGCCTGCTCCACTCACGTTGAGAAAGTGGTGGTTCTCGGCCTCGACTTCGTGGTTGCAAACGAGAGGTATGCTGCTCGGACTTGGGCAAGTTTGCTCCTGATGGCCACTCTGGTCTTGGACTATACAGCTGCACTGAGCGTTCCCAGAGCAAACGCTGTTCGATTCGCATGCCATCGGGAGGCAACCTCCAAGTCTGTTCCTCATGAACGGCGGACCCTGTTCCTCATGAACGGCGGACCCTGTTCCCACGAAGCTCGTCCGGAGTTGTAGGTGTAAGGAACCAGCTTCCCATCGTTTTCGAGTTTGAGATACTGCCAGTCATCGCTGCTGTTCCCGAGTACTGCTGTGAGAGGAGCGCTGCAGAGCTGGGAAGGGTTGCTCGTCGATGGCTGGTACGATAGTCTCAGTTGACCAGCGGAATACTCGAGCTCTGTGTGATAAGTCGGGCATGGTGCGTTGATGGAAGTCTCGTCCGCTGGCAAGTTTCCATTGTATAAGTTCCAAACCAAGTAGGGCTGTCTTGTGTCCCGATTGAGGAAAAAGATGAGACCGCTCGGCTCAACTTCCATCTTGATGTTCCCGCTAGCAAGACTTGATGAATTGGCGCTGCTGATAAGTCTCTGCTTAGTGACCATGACTTGTCTTTCTAAAAGGATATCTGTAGGATGGTCGAAGCTCTGCCAGGAGATCCCACCCGTGGAGTTGTAGAGGACAAAGTTCCCAGTGTCTTGAAGCTCCATCTCAGAAACTCCACCAGGAGAACTCCATACAACCTTCCCATCCCAATCGGCAACTTCCAGAGCTCCCTGATCGGTCACACGAACGGTAGCATTTTCTGTCACAGGACTGTCCCGGTTTGCAGCCCAGACGCAGACGCCAGAGTTCGTGTTGTTGCTGGAGCCAAGAACCAAAGCAAAGTAGAACTCGGCCGAGTTGTGGAATCGAAAGAAAGCCAAGCCAAATCTTCCGCTCTGGCTCAGGAGGGGACTGTCACCTACTTGGAGCAGCCGATAACTGGCATTGGACTGTGATCCTTGCAATTCCAGAAGCTGATTGTTGTTCGTTACTTCCCAGCCTTGTGATAGACTGTAGTTCCTGCCGTGCACACGAAAGAGAATTGTCATCAGCTGAAAGAAAGCGACCAAAAAGAACTTCATAGCCATGAACCATGAAGCAGAATGCGCTAGATTTTTTTTTAATCTATAGAACGGGATACCATTCACTTGACTCGTACATGTTCATACTATTCCAGTCTCACCAACTGTTACCGAACATTTCGATTAGTCTTTGCTTGAACAGAAGTCTAGCAACTTGACTCATTCATATTCATACTTCTTCCACTTATTCCAGTCTCACAAACTGTTTCGATTAGTCTTTGCTTGAACAGAAGTCTAGTCTCCATGACTGCAATTTTCCAAGTCTGATTGAAAGTAAGGACTTACCTCTCGTATAAGCAGGTGTTCTCAATGCAGAACGGCAGCAATGCAAAAGCAAGAGGTTTCACAGGTTGCTAAGGCGTTGTTCCTGGAACTAATAATGCTCCTCACAGTTACTTCTGAAGGGAAGTTGTACACGACACCTGATAAATGGCGCATTTTCATGAACAACAGTCTCCCAGAATTCCAAGGCGATGGTAGATCCGGGAGTTATCGCCTGGTGAGTGCTCTTCCAAAGGATAGCCCTTCTAGCCGGCCAGAATCTCTACGCAGCGACGATGAAAACTTGGGCTTAGCATTCCTCAACTTCAATGGATCAAACAAGTATTACCTGGCACTGATGTTTGGCACTCGCAACTCTTCCACAGCAGCTCCCGTCTGGATAGCCAACCGGAACACTCCAGTGTCAGGAAATTCAATGCTCGCTAAAACAGGTGGTCGCTTACAGCTCCTGGATGCAAATGGTTCCGTGGCATGGTCTCCAAGCGAAAGCGTTGCCTATATCGGCATTCAGAATTCCGGGAACTTGCAGCTCTTCGATGAATCTGAGACCCCGGTATGGAGTTCCTTTGATCGCCCATGGAGCGCACTGATGCCAAACCAGAAGCTAGTAACTGGACAGTCAGTTGTGAGTAACAAAAACGCCTCAGACCCCAGCGAAGGCTCGTATATCGCAGAGATACAGGCCAGTGGATCAGTCGGATACATGAGCATCGGTTCCAAGAAAAAGCAGCCTTACATGTTGTGGAGCTTCGTCGGATCACAAATTGGCTCGCCCAGTGTAAACTGCCCAGGATATCGAACTGCTCTTTCATTCACGCCAGCAGGAGAAATGAGCATGGTGTACGAACCTGTACGTGTTGGTGGTAACGAACAGCCGTGTGGCTCTCCACTGTCCGGGGAAATATTCCCAGGGAACACCACAATGAGGTATTTCCAGCTTGCCGATGATGGGACCATGGTTTCATACAGGCGAGAGTTGGCAAATGGAAGCTGGGAGCTCGATAGCACGAGTCAGTTCTTTCCACCGCCAGCGCCATGCGGGAGCTATGGGCTGCTCGAGAAAGGAAAGCAGTGTCAGTGCCTGACCAACGAAGCAAACAACTCTACTACCTCAGCACTTGGAAGTTGTGCCCAGCCAGAATGGTCTTCTCTTGCAAACTGCAGCTCCAGGTACGAGACCGACTTTGTAACACTCGCAGGTGCATCGTACTTCGCCAACACTTTCAACCCTCCCGATAGAACAGGCGCTGCAATGCAAGATTGCTTCGAGCAATGCAAATCCACTTGCTCCTGTGCGGCGTTCTTTTTCGACCAGGCGCTCCAGAATTGCTTTTTCGTAGAAGACGTCCTGGGAAGCTTGACGGTAGACTCGAACAAGACTCAGCAACTGTTCGGCTTTCTGAAGTACCAGAATTACTCCAGGTTAGTGCCTGTTGACAACTCATCGTCAGACACTCCAAAGCTCCTAGTGATCGGAATTACCTCTGGAGGAGCTGCTGTAGCCATTGTAACTTTTGCGTTCCTTTTCACGATCCTGCATCGAAGGAGGGTCATGCTCAAGGAACTAAACAGTTTCCTTACCGGTGTACAAGCTTCGCCTTACAGGTTCTCGTTCAGCAGCCTATACTCTGCAACAAAAGGATTCACAAAGGTTTTAGGAAGCGGAGGTTGCGGCACAGTGTACGAAGGAATGCTTCACAACGGGATGAAGCTGGCAGTGAAGAAACTCAGCACACAGCACGGACAAAAGGAGTTTGTAACAGAAGTCTCGGCTCTGGGAAACATAAGCCACATCAACATTGTCAAACTCTATGGCTTCTGTGCCGATGCTTCACACAGGCTGCTCGTCTACGAGCTCATGCCCAATGGTTCCTTGGACAGATGGATTTTCTCCGACAACAAGGACAAACTGGACTGGAAACTTCGACACAGCATTGCCCTCGACACTGCTCGAGGACTGGCCTACTTGCACGAGGAATCCAGAGACTCGATCATCCACTTGGATATCAAGCCACAAAACATCCTCCTGGGTGACAAGTTTGAGGCCAAAGTCGCAGACTTTGGCATGGCGAAGCTACTCATGGACAGAGATCAAAATGGAGTGGTCACTGGAGTGAGAGGAACTCCAGGATATCTAGCTCCAGAGTGGCTGCTACACTCAACAGCGACCAAGAAATGCGACGTCTACAGCTATGGAATGGTGCTCCTGGAGCTCATTGGCGGCAGGAAAAATCTAGACTGCTCCAAGATGGAGTCGCCACTGAGCTGGTACTTCCCAGCCTGGGCCATGAGCGAAATCCGGAAAGGGAACACGATGCAAGTGGTGGATCCGAGCGTCAAGGACTCGGCAGACACAAGGCAGGCAAAGAATATGATCCACATCGCATTCTGGTGCACGCAAGATGATCCAGCAGCTAGACCGACAATGGATGCAGTAGTGCGAATGCTGGAGAGCGAGGAGGAGATCGAGGAGCCGCCGCTTACCTTCCAGTTCGATGTCCAAGCGCCTGGAATCCTCACCATCACCTCGAGCGGCGACATCGCGACATTCACATACATCACCAAAAACCCTTTAGCCCATGAGCCCTAAAATTCAAATACTAATTGAGTTTTTGCATCTTTTACTAAGAAAATTAGTCAGGACAGAAAAAGCGTCTAAGTGCAAGTTGCCTTTGCTGGTTTTTTTTTCCAATCTCTAGCCACGACATTCCAGTCTTGAAAAGAACCTCCAAATCTGATAAAAAAAACTAGGAGATTAAAAAAAACACTTTTGTGCATAACTCTTATTTGAGAACGTTCCGAATTTAACAGATACATTAGTGAACCAGCTCGCACAAATTCTCCTGGGATCGCTCGGCTTGTTGGCATGCAAACTTGGCTCCAACCGAATAAGATTTCCGCAAAAAAGTCTCTTTCATGTCAAGCTCAAGTTCTGGGAATCAAAAACAACAATCCATTTGCCCACGGTCAGAAAGGTAAGGTTTCCATGCGTACCTAGCATTGTACAGTACATAGCTGTTGTTCTTTATTACATGCTTGGGTACTCTTGGCAAACTGGATACTTTCTTCCAGTTCCATTCTTCACCACCTTTCCTGTCCAAGACTAAAACCACAAGTGATAATGATCTGAGTAAGAGAGAAAACAGGGTACATGGTCATGGCCGTGGCCAAATTTAAACAGGTCATAATATCACAGAATCTATCATAATAATGACTTTGACTAGGACTAACACTCCCACTCTGGCGCAGTAACTCAGACTCTCTCTCTCTCATGCGCGAGTACGCAATAGCTGCGCCAGCACCTCACGACCGCTCCTGTTTCTCCTGCAACTGTAAACGGTTGCAATTGAGAGCAAATTTATCCTGTGGAAGAGACTTGGTCAGCATATCAGCAAGCTGCTCAGTGGTAGAGCAAAATTGGAGGACAATAATGCCCGCTGGACCTGCTCTCGGACATAGTGATAACGGAGCTGAATGTGCTTAGTTCTGTCATGGAACTTTGATGTAGCTGAAAGAGCAATAGCGCTAATGTTGTCACAAAGTAACATCGTGGGCTGAACAAGAAAATGTCCAAGCTCTGTGAGCAATAAGCGAATCCAGACAGCCTCTTTGCACGCTGAGCACGCAGAAATATATTCGGCTTCAGTAGACGACAGAGCTGTGATGCTCTGTTTCTTGCTCCTCCAAGTCAAAGTTGAGGCACCGAGAATAAAAACGTAGGCGGATGTAGATTTGCGGGTGTCTTTGTCACCAGCCCAATCTGAGTCGCAGTAGCCGCGCAAGTGGAATTGCTCATCTGGGACACGAGAATATGTAAGCGCCAAGGATTTCGCCACGACTCCCACTGCATGCGCTAAATCTGGGCCGGTACAAATAACAAGATAAATCAGACTACCAACAGCTGCACGATACGGAATCCTCTCCATGGAATTGCTCTCAGCTTCAGTGGTTGGTGACTGAGTTTTAGAAAGCTGAAGAGTAAGCTCCATAGGTGTGGAAACTGGAGTACTGTCGTGCATATTAAAGCGTTTGAGAATTTCGTCCACATAGCGCTGCTGAGAAAGATGAATAGTTCCACGGGACCGGTCTCCAATAATATTAAGACCAAGACAAATTAATATCTCCAAGATCGTACATCTCAAATTGAGAAGAGAGCTGCTCTTTGATCTTATGTAGAAAAGAAAGACAATTTGCTAGTAAGATCAAATCGTCGACATATAACGCAATAAGGACCATCGTCTTTTCAACATGTTTCTGGTACACGTTCTGATCAGCAGCATTTCTTGAAAATCCGATAGAAATGAGAAATTTGTCCATTT